AAGCACTCTGCACAGGAGCAACCTGCAAAGAAGCCTGCATTGCAAAGGGAAAAACGGACTCATCAAACCGGACATGACGGCAGATAAAGATTTTCCCCGTGTTTAAGTCAAAACAGCGGTATTGATGGACAATTTAATATATGTCCTCGCAAGTGCACGAGTCAGTGTAGTAACAAGGTGCAAAAGCAAGGGTCGAACCCACGAGGAATTGATACGATGCAATTTAATAACTTGAAACCAAAACAATGAACTTGATAATTTAAAATGCTTAGAATCAATCAACAACTGAAATTAATTAAGCCGAATGAAAAAACAGGTAGAAAATAATATGAGAAAGACAATTGACGAAACAAAACATAGCAGGCAATAAAGACTAGAAACATTAATCAAATGCTAGAACCGGCTAAATTCAATATAACTAATCTCAACTCAAATTCATAGAATAAAACTTAATTGAATGACAAAATAATCAGTACAAGAATTGTTTAATGGCAAATGACAATATCATCATGTCCGTGAATGAAAGCTACTAACTCAATGTAATTATGAAAGCACAGCAATCACTAATGGTAATCAACAACTTTCTTAAACACTAATTACTATACTTATCTGCATAATCAAGGTAGGCAGTACAATACTCAAATCAAAATCAAAATTGAAATTAAAGTAAGAGTTGTGGATAGCTACGGATAAATGGAATTAACAATTTTGAGTTCACACATCATCTAATTCCAATACAAATGATAAATTAACCACAATTGCAATAAAGAGGAAGAAAGAAGATAATTGCCGTGTGAATAGCAGTACGGCCCTCTAAAATTGAAGCTGCTACGCAGATTGAATTCTACCGCCAAGGATTCTGCAACGCCGAACACCGCCACTACCAGAATTCGTCGTCACCGCCCTTCGGAGAATCACCTCCGACCGGAATTGCTCCGGGGTAGATTGATGATCAGATTGGTAATCCTTGACCCTGTTTCATACTGTTTTGGCCAACCGTTTCTCCGAGCTCTCCCTGGTCAATCGAATATGCCAATTGAATAGGACCTTCCCAAACGATCGCCGCCTCTTACTCTCAAGCGATCTCTCGTCCGTCCACTCGCTATTGGAGACTGGTTCGCACTAATCACCGGCCCTCTTTGTTCGCCTCTTACGGATAATAATAATAATAATAATAATAATAATAATAATGATAATAATAATAATAATAATAATAATAATAATAATAATAATAATAATAATCTTATTAAAGATCATATATAACTAATCTACCTTTATTAAACTCCTACTGAACATGTACTACTAAAATTAATAATATTATCATTAAATTAGGATCAAAGAATTATTGGAATAACAGAATTCAAATAATAAACAAATTTAATAATTAAAACATAAAATTAAATAATATTACTAAAAACTAATTATAGCAATAATAAATAAAAATAGATAAGAACTAATCAATTATTTGCAACTTAACTTAAAAAGATTATTTCAAATAACAATAAAATATTGTTTATCAAATTTCCCCACACTTATTTCTTTGCTTGTCCTCAAGCAAAATCATTATTAAAGAGAAAGAAAAGAAATTAAAAATCAAACCAAGTATTAGATTGAGCTTTTACCTGAATGATCTTTCAAATTTATTGAACAATGCAGAGTTAGTGCCAACTCAAAAAATGTATAAAACAATTGACTAGAAATTAAAACCTTTAGCAACTAAAATAAATATAAAACCTGTGCTCGTTTGCTGAAACCCCATATATGAATTATACAAAAACTCAATAGAAAAATATGAAAATTTCACCAAATTCAACCTAAACCAAATTCAGAAATATTCAATCACAGTGCAAGTGCAAAATATGAAGGAAATTAGGATCAAGGCATTTATTAAAATTGAAATGCAATTGCTTGTCTCATCCAAAGTTCACTCATTATTTTTTCGTTTTTGATTTTTTTCCAAAGAGAACTTCCCCAAAAACCTCGCCATTTTACGCCAGACTTGTTTGGGTTTTCAATTTTGTGTGTACTCATAAACCAGACCACGACACTTATTTATTTATGGTACATGTGTATAGGTGGCTGATTCAGCGGAGTAGAATCTCTTACTTTATTGCAAACAAAATAATAAATAAATAATACACTCATTTTTATTTTTTTTTCATATTTTTCAAATCTTTTTTAAAAGATTTTTCACCTCACTTATGCCATACAGATGATCCTTGAACCAACACACTACACCACAATTTATAGCACTCAAGAATTGTTTAAGAATTTGATAAAGGTAATATAAGGTGAAAGACACATATAAACTACTAAAGAAATTGTATAGAACACAAAGGTATTTGTGATTTTCAAATTCTATTTTTTTTGGTTTTTTGATTTTTTTGGTTTTTTTTTTTTTTTTGTTTTTTTTTTTTGTTTTGTTTTTTGATTTGACAAAGATATAAAATTAAAGAAATTAACAACTAGTCAAAAGTAATATACACACTAAGAGCTGACAAAAGCCTGCATTATTTCTATCACCAATTATTCAAAAGACTTATGGATAAAGCTCAAACTAATGCTAGAATTGTAAAATAAGAAAATTTAAGAAAATGTACATAAGAAAATTAAAAAGTTTGAAATTAAAAAAGAAACTAAAAAAGGTTAAGAAAATATACATAAGAAAATTAAAAAGTTTAAAATTTTTCAATTTTTTGTGATTTGTGGGTAAAACCCCTTCCCTACACTTATTTTCAACATTGTCCCCAATGTTGTGAGAGGAAAGAAAAGAAGATAAAGAAAGTCCACGTTTATTAGATTTTTTATTTGTGGAACTCTCATACGGCCTTGCAGTTTGTGAATAACAAGAAAAAATTGATTTATCAACACTATTCAAAAGATTTTCTTTTTGAATTTTATCAAATTCCAACTTACCATCATCAGCAAAATTCAACCCATTAACTGCAAAAACTTGGGTATATCTGACAGGAAAATTCATAGATTTAAAATTTGAAAACTCAACAGTTTCATCAAGCACACTTTTGGTCAATTTATCTGCTTGAGCATCAGTAGGTATTGGGAGCAATTCTTTTTGTAGCTCTGCAGCTACCGTTTCAGGCACACAACTTTTGAGCCTATTTGGAAACGAAATTGGGGACACAAAAGGCTCGGGTGCTATATAGGGCTCTTCTTCCTCACAATCTTTATTTTGTATAGGTTCGGTATTTTCAAAATTTTCATCAACAGGGACAGGGGGCACATAAAGATTGGGAGGCACATAAGGGTTATCAGATTTATGCAATTGAGGTTCATCATTTTCAACAATAATATCATTAGCATCATTATTCAATTTTTCAATTTCAACTTGATTAGAAGTGATATTATCTTTTACCATGTTTTCATTCATAGCTTCCTCAGGAATAGGTAACTTACCTGGCACGTGCCCTTGCACAAATTTAGCAATTTGCTCTAAATGTGTTTCTATTCTTTTAAAGCAAGCCTCATTTTGTTCATCTGCTTCTTGTTGCATCTGGTGCTCATAAGCTTCTTGCTGCATCTGGTGCTCATAAGCTTCTTGTTGCATCTGGTGCTCATATGCTTCTTGTTGCATCTGGTGCTCATAAGCTTCTTACGGATAATAATAATAATAATAATAATAATAATAATAATGATAATAATAATAATAATAATAATAATAATAATAATAATAATAATAATAATCTTATTAAAGATCATATATAACTAATCTACCTTTATTAAACTCCTACTGAACATGTACTACTAAAATTAATAATATTATCATTAAATTAGGATCAAAGAATTATTGGAATAACAGAATTCAAATAATAAACATATTTAATAATTAAAACATAAAATTAAATAATATTACTAAAAACTAATTATAGCAATAATAAATAAAAATAGATAAGAACTAATCAATTATTTGCAACTTAACTATAAAAAGATTATTTAAAATAACAATAAAATATTATTTATCAGGTATCCCCTATAAGAGACTGGGTAACCTAGGAAGACACATGGTACCGACCGATATTCCATCTTGTGGCGATTGTAAGGCCGCAGATAGGGATAACAGCGACACCCGAAGACTCGAAAGAAGTTATATGTTGGGTGAGTGTTATATAGACGGTAATATGGAGATTGGAACTGTATGGCTGATGAGGGTAAATAATTTATTAAATGGGCAGCCGTTTCAAAGGCATAGTCCCAATATTGAAGGGGAGTTGAACTTTCAGCTAATAAAGCTAAGCCAGTTTCGACAATATGTCTATTCCGACGCTCAACACGACCGTTTTGTTCGTGTGTATAGGCACAAGATTGTCTGTGAGTTATGCCTAAGGATTCAAAAATAGTATGTAAACGGCGGTATTCACCCCTAAGTCGGACTGGATGGCTTTGATAGAACAGGAAAATTGCCGTTCTACCTTGGCCCGGAAAAAATTAAAGATTTTATAAATATCTGATTTTAATCTGAACGGATAAAACCAGCAAAACCGTGAGTAATCGTCTACAAAGAGAACAAAGTAACGAAAACCCGAATCACTAATGACAGAAGACGGACCCCAAATGTCCGTGTACAATAAATCTAATACATTACGGCTAGTGTTTGGAACTCTATCTAATGGAAAACGTGCTGATTTTCCGAGTTGACATGCGGTGCACATTTTTGACGAACTAGCCTTATTGGGCAGAACCAAACAATTCTTTAAGATGCGCTGGAGGACTTCAAGGTGCGGGTGACCCAACCGTTGATGCCACACCTGAGACGACGCACGGGCGGACAGGAACGCAAAATGAGTTTGCGGGACCAAGAGCTTGTATAATCCGCCCGATGTTGACCCTTTAAGCAGAACCGTTTGAGTGTTGGAATCCTTCACAAGAAACAAGTTTTTATGAAACTCGAAATAAACATTGTTCTCGTTAATAAAACGGTAAACAGACAATAATGGTAACGTTAAATTAGGAACATGCAGAATATTTGACATGTGTAACATTTTTTACCGGGATGGGATAACCGCATGACCCACACGAGAAACATCCAAACCTGCGCCATTGCCCACTTTGAGCACGTCACCACCACTGTATGCTTCGGAATGCTGCATCATCTGATCATCCGGGGTCGCATGAGAAGATGCGGCCGTGTCCGGGTACCATGCATCCGGAGTCTGAGGTTCATTAGACGTAGCAACGTGAGCCTGTCCACCGTGAGATTGCGGACGATCAGCATATCTTTTGAACCAGTACACGGCCGTATGGCCGTGTGATCTACATATCTGGCAGCGGGGTGTGCCACCGCGGCCACGGCCGTTGTTGCCCCTTCCACGGCCTTGCCGTCCACGCCCTCCACCAATCTGCCGTCTACCACCATTCTGCCGCGCCTGCTCACCAGTGCCACTGCCGCGACCAGCGAAGAAGGCTGACGGGGAGCCACCAGTGCCGGAGTCCACTGTAAAGTCCTCTGCGTGTATAAATTCCTGGGCTTGCAGATGATCAGCAAGTTGCGACAGCGTGATGGGGTTGCCGGAGACGGTGATCAAACTCGCCATTGCCCGGAACTCAGGCCGGAGACCGCGCAACACATATAGCAATTGTTCGTCCGGCGAGAGGGGGCGACCTGCGAGAGCTAGGGCTTCAACAATGGTCTGCGCCTTGCCCAAATAATCTGCCGGAGAGCTGCTTCCCTGACGCAGATTCTGGAACTGGCCGAGAAGACTGAGGGAACGTGCACGAGTGGTTGACGCCAGTGTCGTGGTGACGGAATCCCAGACTTCCTTGGCGGTGTGCCTGCCGAGAGCATGGTGCATAACCTCATCCGAGAAGGACGAGATTACCAAGGACAAAATAGATCGGTCCTGCTGGACCCAGGCGGTGTGCGCGGGATTAGGCGTCATTGTGGAGGTTGTTGCCGCAGCACCATCAGAAGCTAACGTGACGGAGATGGTCTCCGGAGGGCACGGGAAACTACCATCAATGTAACCCAGTAGACCTTGGCCACGGAGAAAGGGAAGGAGTTGTGTCCTCCAGAATAGGTAATTGCGCGTGGTAAGCTTCATGGATACGAAGTGATGCGCGGCTGAGAGAGGATTTGGCGTCGCCGGCACAGTGGGTGCGGCGAGGATGATCGTAGTGGTAGCGTTTGAATTCGAAGCCATCGTAAAGAGAGAGAGCGAATGCGGAAATTAGATCGAAGAGAGGATCGCAATCCTATCGCAACTGATACCAGATGAGACGATGTTTTGTTCAAATTCAAATAATTGATCAGATCGTTGAGGAGACAATGCAGAGAGTCCTATAGGAGAGTTAACACAATACTCTCTTGTTATTCAGGATAGAACAATTGACTAGTCTACATCTAATAATAATAATAAAAAAAACATACAATATAAATGTAAAACATTAATATTACTAACAATATATATTGGAGACAATTAGGTGAGAACCACATGCCTAGAAGAGAATTGAGAATCAATCGCAGTCATCCACATGTTCAGATCTAACGAATCAAAAACACTATTTTAAAAAAAAAAATGTGGTGACATATTCGTAAATAATTGAACTTTGAAGTGCAAGTAAACTATCTTAAAAGTGCAAGTAACAGTTTTATATAGTACACCTAAGTGCATGTAAAATATATTAAAAGTGCAACAAATAATGTATACTGAGCATCAATATTAAATGCACCTAACGTTATCATTAGTTGCACCAAACATTATCATTAAGTGAAACAACGTGAATGATGCTATAATTAGGTATACCAATGTCAAAAATGTAAATTACTTGCACTATCAAGTGAAAATGGTTGCACTTTAAGTGATTTTACTTGCATTTTGTACTTATACACTTGTACTAGTTACTTGCACTTTTAACACATGTTACTTGCACCAAAGTTTGAGTTATTTATGAAAATGTCATTGCGTTTTTTTAAAATTACATCTGATCCATTAAATCTGGATATGTGGATGACTGCGATTGCTCATCAATTCTTTTCTAGGCATTGATTCTCACATTAGCGCACCATATATATATATATATATATATATATATATATATATATATATATATATATATATATATATATATATGTGTGTGTGTGTGTGTGTGTGTGTGTGTGTGTGTGTGTGTGTGTTTGTGTGTGTGTGTGTGTTTGTGTGTGTGTGTGCGCGCGTGTGAGAGAGTATATGCTTGATAACTTGAGGTATTCAACATTACATTTAATGCAAGTGTTTCAATGTTTTGCACCATTCTACTAAATTCTTCAACAAAATTCTTGGAAGTCAAATAAAAGAAAATCCTAAAAAATATTTGGACTTTTGTGTGATTTTACTTGCACATTTTATTTGTACACTTGCAAATGTTAGATGCACTTTTAACACATGTCACTTGCACTTCAAAGTTGAAGTTATTTATAAAAATGTCAACTAATTTTTTTTAAAATTGCATATGAACTCGTTATATTTTCTGATGTACGACTCCAATTAGTTAATTACATGTAACATTGACGTGATGAATATGTAATAGTAATTAATTGATAGACCAACACTAATGTCTTGACTCTTGATGAGTATAAAGTATTGATTTTATGAACTTTTAGTATGTAGTAATTAAATAAACCTAAGTAGTGATTAAAAAATTGAAAAACAAAATCGATATGTTAACATTTTAATTAGAGTTTTTTAATAATATATTCTTTTATACAATAATTTTATTTATACAAATAGAAAAATAAATTTAAATTTAAAAAATTAGAGAGAAAAGTTGGGGATTATATAATGGTCCTGTTTGGTAAAAAATTGGCCTATAGGTCAATTTTGACTTATTTGAGCATTATTAATTGTTTGATTTAGTTAAAATATCAATATAAGTATTTGGTTAATTAGCTTTTTGCAACTCCAAAATGCTAAAATTCAAAAAGCTACTCCAAACAACTTTTTTAATTAACTTTTTCAGAAAAGAAATTATATCAAATTAAACAGCTATCAGATAACAGTTAATTTTTCAAACACTTTTCTACAACAGCTAATGTTATCAACTAGTTATACCCTCTAATTAACGTAATCAGCTAACAACTAACAGCTATCAACTAACCGTCATTTACCAAACCGGGCCAATATATTTTAATAATGATGATTTGACTAATATCTTTCGTCTTCCCAAATTCCTCCTATATAATTTCCATTTCTTTCCGACCTTGCATGTTGAAAAATGAAATGATTTAAAATTTTGATTTTGAATGACCGTAGTGTAAATGTTGCTCGTCAGTTTTTCTCCAATACGGTACAAGAGGGGCAATATGTGTGCCGTTTTAAAAATTGAAGGGCAACATTTACACCACAAATAATTCAAAAATAATATTAATAATTGGCATATTATAGAAGATCATAAATTACAATTTTACCTTAACAGGACGTTTGGTTGGAAGGAACTTAAATTTTATTCCCACTTAATTCCCACCTAATTTCAAAGGCTACTAAATTCCTTTCCCAATTCGCTCCCTCCAACCAAACGCCCCATAAAGGAAACAAAGTAAGGGGAATTTGGTAAACAACTTATCAGCTAACTTTTAACTTATTTGACCAACTTTAACTATTAACTTGGTTAAACAACTAAAATGAGTGTTTGGTAAATAACGTTTTGTCTTAGATTATTAATACTGATAAGTTAAAAATAAAAAGTTATTTGGAGTTTTTGTTTTTGTTTTTTTTTTTTTGTTTTTGTTTTTTTTTTTTTTTTGTATAAACTAATTGCATTTTCTTTTTAAAAATATAATTAGTCTTAATATTTATGGGTTATTATGGTGTTTATGGTTATTCAATTTTTATTCAACTTCATGCTTTGAATATTTAATTATTTTTATTTAATAAAAATAAAAACAATACTTTTAATATAATAAATTGCAACAACAACAACAACAACAACAATAATAATAATAGTAGTAGTAGTAGTAGTAGTAGTAGTAGTATCAATAATAAAAATAATGTAATGAAATAATCATACGAAAAAAATTATTTCTGGAAAATAATAACATGCACAAGCAACGGGAAAAAGGGCTAAGGTTGTTAGCTTGAGTCGTATGATACCCCCACTATCCTTAAAACCTTATTTAATTTACTATCTCCCAAAGATGCTAGGAGCGTTGTAGCCTAAGTTTCTCAGGATAAAACAAGTTACAACTCACACTATCCTTAAAACCTTATTTGCTACCTCACAAAGGTGCTAAGAGTGTTGTAGCCTAGGTCGCCCAATGTTTTCAGAGCTAAAAATGTAAAATATGTAATCCCAATCAACATACATGACTTAAATATTTTCAAACTCATTTTAGAATTCGATTTACACACCTATACAATTTAATATACCTTAAAAAGGATCTTATATATATAGTGGTGCAAACCCACTTCCCAAACCAATGTGGGACAAAGGCTACTTTAAAGCCTTTCCACCTTCATTTTCCAACTCAAATGTGTCTACTTTGAGAATCAATTTCTAATTCACCCATTATCCATTTTGAGCGTACAATATATCAATCTCTTCGTCTAACTACTAAGATCCCGAATCCACTTTGACCCAATCCTAATCGAAAGTGGACCCCACTAATATTTGTACCACAAAATAGTCACTTAAAATGTCATTTTATGCTATTTTTCAAACAAATAATAACTAAAATAAACGTATTTTAAAATTTATACTTTAAGGATAATTCAATAAATAAAATAATATTTTATCTCTCAAAGTCATTTTACATGTTATCCCGTTACCGTAAACAATTAATTTACCAAACATTTTCATACAAACTACTACTACTACCAATTGGTCAAAACAACAAACATAATTAGCTATGAGCTAACAACTGATTGTCAAACATTCCTAATAGGGCGTTTGGTTGGTGGGAATTACAATTCTATCCCGACATTCGAAATAATTAGCTATGAGCTAACAATTGATTGTCAAACACTCCCAATAGGGCGTTTGGTTGGAGGGAATTACAATTTCATCCCCACATTCGAAGGCAAGCAAATTCATTTGTTTGGTTGGAGGGAATTGCAATTCTGCGGAACTAAAATTCCCTCATTTTCAAGGAATTAGAGTCCCATGCCCCCTTGAAATTTTAATTCAATGGATTTTAGGAAGAAAAAAAAAAACCTGAGACAAAATTGCCCCTCTTTTTTTTTAAACCTAAAATTGATGTTCGACCTCTCTATTTCAATTATAGCGTGTCTTCTTCTTCTACTCTCAACAGAAAATGTTAATTAGTAATCCAACCCTAATCAAATATGTTTTCTCAAAAACTCTCTTATCTATTTTATTTCTTTTGTTATGCAATTTTAGGGTATATTTACAACGTGTTACATAAAATTTTAAAAGTAAAATTTGAATTTGGTCATTTAGGATTAACAACAACAACAATAATAATATAAATAATAATTATAATAATAATACTAATACTAATACATTATACTAATACTAATATTTATAAGTATGGACATTTTGAACTCTATACTACTTATTCCCGTCCAATTCCCATGTATACCAACATTGGAATTGAAATTCCCAATAATTCTATTCCTGTAAACCAAACACTGGAATTTAAATTAGCACTTTATTCTCACATTATTCCTCTCCCACGGAATTGTAATTTTTTTCCCACCTAATTCCCTCCCTCCAACCAAACACCCCATAAGAGTTTACCAAATTATTTATCCATAGAAATGAAGATTATCTATAAGTTTTTATAATTTAAATAATATTCAAAGATAAGAAGGGATGCAAAAATCTTATTTAAAAAATAACAACATTATCATCAAATATGCAAGTAATGATTTAGCTCTTAGGGTTGGGGTTCAACCTTTTGGAAGAATGCAAGTAATGATTTAATTAAATGAAATACTATAAAAACAATCCTAACCTATTGGGTCGAACTACCCTACTGCATAATACGGCGGGGTGTGGATTATGAATTTTGAGATCCGCAGCAAAAATTAAGCCACATGGGCTAGCCCTACTAAGAGGCGAGCTAGCCTGCCATTATTATTTTTAAAAAATTCTTTAAATTCTATAATTCATCGGCCCTAATTCCGAATGCAATAAATAGTAAATAATACAAACCCTAAATCCGAATTCCATAGCCTCACCCCTATGCCTCTCGCGATCTACCCAT